TGATGCAATAGTGTTTCAAAGCCTCATAATTTACATTAGACAGGTAAGGCTCAAAAGAGATGTGAGGGACAGAATGGGTGGGGATAGAACAATGAAGGCAGTTCAGATGCATGCAACTGAACAAATGGTGCTGTCTATACAGTGTCCCTTGCCTGGAGAAATAGAACAAGTTTAAATAGGGGCATTACTCTCTACTGCCAATATTCTGAATAGTGCAAGATAGGCAGTGGGAAGACAGAGCGTGTCACCAAATGAAGACTCAACTAGTGAGGACAAGAGAGGTAGCCTGCATAAAAACTGCCTATGCCAAGAACGGTCTTTCCTGACCTTCAGCTCTCCAGATATGGTGACCTGTAAATCCCACCATTCCCTGGCAATGAATGTAGTTCTACTTTAGTTGTGAAGTCACAGGGGAAAAAAATCAGAAAATAAAACATTTCCCTCTCTGCCATTTTTTCGAAGAACCTTCTTGGGAGGTTCTATAAAATATTTTCTTTTAGTGTGATGAAGATAAGTGTTTAAGGCATAGTTCTCATTTATTGTTACTCGGCTTTTACTACACCAGAATGATTTCTATAAAGTACATAATAGGAATCCTTTTATAGGAAGTCTAGTTAAATTAATTTTAATCCTCTCTGTAAGATTCCCAGAATAGCTATTAATTTATTTTTTATTAAAATTATTGCTCTAAAGCACCTTTTATTGATAAACATTTAGGGATGTCCCAAGTTATTGTCTGTTTCCCAACACATGCCTTGAATCACCATATTAGGGTGAGTCAAAAATTATCCAAATTTTTGAGGGCAAGTCAAAAATTATCTGCACTCTGGCTGTAGAATTTAATTAACTTCTAGATAAGACAAATACACCGTTTTTGACATAATATCCTTGCTTTTCAATACACTCTGTCAACAAGCTTTCATATTCCCTCATTAAAAATGTTTTAGGCTGAGCTGTGAGCCACAAATACACCACTGTCTTCACTTCTTCATCAGAAGTGAATCTTTGTCCTCATAGGGTTGCTTTCAAACAGGTGAAAGTCTGATGGAGCAAGATCAGAACCGTAGGGAGAATGCCTTAATACCTCAAAATGAATTTTTTTGCAGAATGTCAACAATGTGGGCAGAAGTGTGCAGATATACATTGTCACAATGCCCTTGGATAGCAGTCCTCTGCTTTTAATCCGAAGTTTAGGCTTCAAGCTCTTCAATAAGCATTTCACTGTAACAAGCACTGTTGATTGTTGAACGTTTTTCCTGATAATGTTCCAATACTGGCCCTTGAAAATCCCAGAAAATTGTAAGCATCAATTCTCCAGTTAATGGTTAACTTTTAAACTTTTTCTTGGTTGGCAGTTAAGGATGCTTCCATTCCATACTCTGTCATTTATTCTCAGGCTCATAGTGATGGATCTATTTTTCATCCCCAGTAATTATTTTCTTTAAGAAACTTTCACCTTTCTTAGAGTATTGGTCCAAATTTCGTTTGCAGATATCCAAACATTTCTGTTTATGCTCTTCCGTGAGTTGTTTCGGTACCCATCTTGCACAAACTTTTTGAAACCTAAATCTGTTGTGGATTATTTCATAGGAAGAGCCATGGGTAATTTGCAAATGATTTGCCACATAATCCACATCACTCATCTATTCAACAGAATCATTTCACATGTATGTTTAATGTTGTCATCAGCTGTGAACATGCAGCCATCCCCTTCTTGATGGCTAACACTTGTGTGACCGTCCATGAACTTCTCTATCCATTCATAGGCTTCTTTGCAAAAAAACACTTTCTCCATACTGCGCACAAAGTCTTCAAGAAATTATGGCACCAGGTACACCCTCTGACCACACAAAAAAAGAATCATTGCATGCTGCTCTTCATTAGTGCAAATCACAAGTGGGGCATCCATTTTTGCTCACACCTCAGTTACAAATGAACTGATGTAACATGTTCACACCTGCACAGTAGTGACTGGGGAGACAGTAGCCTTGAACGGAAAGCACCCATAAGACAGTGTGGCCAACAGAAGTTTTAATATAACCAGAGTGCAGATAATTTTTGACTCACCCTCTTCGGCATTGGTGATTGGGGCATAGACTTGGACTACTGTGATTTTGAATGGTTTGCCTTGGATTCAAAGCCTGGGATTTGAGCCTTTGTTTCTGGGTTTGTTCTGGTTAGATATTATAGCAGTCATTAAAGGTAGTTCTAAAAACCACATGCAACTATTTGCTACCACCACCACATGCAATTGAACAGGTGACTTACTTCACCAAAATTTGTTTTAAAAAATAAGAACTTTGAGACTTGTATCTATAGAACTAATTGCAACAGTTTTTAAATAAAGTTTCCAACCAGTTTGCATCATTAGATTATACTGCTTCTGCTTTAAAACCTTTAACAGCTACCACTAGAATTAAATTTTCCTATGCCATGTTCCTATGGCATGCAACAGACACCAGGATTAGAGACAACTTTTCAAAATGAAAGAAAATATTTTTAAGGTGAAATATTTACAGAACAAGATAATGTCACTTTTCAAATAATACACTGAGATTGCTTAAAGTTTCCCTTCAATTCCCTTCAGTCACTTCTTTTATCTTCAGAGAGGGGTGCAGTGTTCCAGGGGGCAAGGAGAAGCTAGGTACCACCATGCTCTGAAGAACCCCAGACTAACTAAAGCTAGTTCTTTAGCTTCCATTCCTCCTGAGGAGGTGGAAAACATTCAGACATCCAAAATAGGGCATCTAAATATACTGGAGAGTGATGAGAGCACAGTTGCAATCCTAGCCTCCACATCCCTTCCACTGGATACCCACAACCTTCCAAGTTCAGATGGTTTTGGGCAAGCATACCATGCCTAAAGTTACTTCAGACCTGTGAACAGCACCAAAAAATTAGTGTTATTTATTTAAAACATGGGTCCTCAAACTAAGGCCCGTGGGCCAGATCCGGCCCGCCATGTCCATTTAACTGGCCCGCCTCACAGGTTTTGCACTCGCTGGGCCCCCGCACAGGCACGGGTGGGAGCGGCTTGCTCGCAAGGAGGTCGTTTGGACTAGCTCAGAGAAAACAATCTCTTCGCGAGTAAGCCGGCGCCTCGCTCCGTGCACCCTCCATCCCCAAATTTCCATGTTCTTTTTCATGGTTTCAACATTTCCTGAATTCCAACAAATCTAGAGAGCACTTGATGGTGGAAGGCTGGTCATAGACTAGCAGCAACTCTTCCAAAATTTCTTACAGAAAAACTAAACTTAAGTCATTCTATATGTAAAACATGTTTTACACCACAAGACTACATTCCATCCATAAAGGCAACAAGAACAATTGAGGACTTTAGTGGTCACTGCAAAGCATTTTCCTCACAGACAGTATTTTGGCATGATAGCCACCTAGTGACTTGAAGCCAGATAGCTACTGAAGGAGCCAAAGTATCTTTTTTCACCAAGGTATTGCTGTTTCCTTATTACAGACCTTTGCCCTGTCCTAGTTTTGCTTACTGTGACCTACACAATACTGCTCCTCCTTGCTTTGTTTCCTCTGCAGCTATGTGTTTGTTAAGCCACTGAATTCATCACTCAGAGGAAAGTCCAAGGAGATTTACATGAAAAAGAGTAGCTACATTTAGCAACCTTCTACTCTAGTTACAGCCTAAGACATTTTGCTGCTCAGGTAAGATGCACAGTGCTTAGAGCCATCCACGTTATTTTACTAAATGAGGCTGAAAATCCCCTAAGCACCTGCCCCCGGACCCAAGAAGTGAAAAAAACAAACTGCTGATCTTTCATGGCACCCAAAACCACTGCCTGAAGTAGCCATCTTATTCTTTGTTAGGGCCAGCCTTGTTCAATACTTTGCACTGCTGGGGAGTAGACCACTTGCACAACCCACACTCAAAATCTAGTTCTCATTGGGTCATTGCAATTATTTTCGTTGACTTTGCCAGTACTCCTCCCAAGCCTCGATAATTAGTTAAGTCGGGATAGAAACTGTGCTAGAATTTAAGGGTATTTTGTAATTTCGGAAACTGTCCCAGAGTACCATCATAAAAGTAAAGCAAAGGCCAAGAAACCTGCCCAAAAGAGTAGACTCTGAGCCTCAACACACTAATCTCCTTTTAATCCACCGTTTTTAGCGCTAACAGAGATCAATTTCACAGCTATTCCAGTTGGAGGTAATATATTGCTATTATTGTTTATGTGGAAAGACTTTGGCTTCTTGGAAGGCACTTCTGGGGATGCATCGTTGTCCACGTACACCATTTGGTAACCCTCTGCCTAGCACTTAAATCCTTCCACCTTGGGATTTAAATCCTCCACTACAGTCCAAGACTAGGGTGTAACGGGCCCAAGTACAAAATCTGCCCTCAGGTGAATTGCTGAGCAATGGTTTCGTTGTGAGGCTTTAATAATTAGATTTATACCCTACCTTTCTACCAAACAAGTGGAGCTCAGTGAGGAGGTTTTTTAAATCTCCAGGAAGTACCACTGGTGAAACCAGCAAGATTTTAAACTGCCCCACGAGCCAAATGGGATCGCGAAGGAATGCATCCATTGCTAGTCTTACCTAGTTGGAATACAGCTACTGAAATGAAAAGCACCTTGGTTAGACTAGCATCGGATACAAACCTTGCAAACGGGGATTCTTCTTTGGGTTGGTCTCTTGCCTAAACACGCCAATTGGCTGCCAGAGTTTTGGCGCGCAGAACAGGCAGGCATAGCGCGCGCCCGTGCGTGGGCGGTGCGGCGGGCGGAGGAGGAGGAGGAGGAGTTTGGAGGCGTACGCTGATTGTTTAGATTCAGCTCCCGCCAGGGACTGGACTGTAAAAACGGATTGGTGGAAAAAGGGACGGGCGTGGCTTCTCTCGAGGAATAGGTGGACGGGCTCAGGCGCGAAGCCCGCGGATTGGTTGTGGCGGGCTGGCTTCCGCGTGGTGATTGGCTGCGGCTCCGTTCTGTCGTTAAGCCGGTGGCGCGCGGATTGGGCTGGGGAGATGTTTGAGTGCGAGTAAGCGGTGGGGCTATAGTCTGTCATGGCGCGGGTGTCGGTCTTGGGAGTTTCGCTGCTGGAGAACCCGAGCCCCTTCGCCCACCCGCTCCGTTTCCAAGTGCAGTTCGAGTGTGGAGAGGCGTTGCCTCATGGTGAGTCTGGGGACAAGGCGCAGAGTTTGACCCACGTGCGAGGTCTTTCCCTATGCCGAAGCGACCGTAGCCTCCGTCCGACATCCCAGGAAAGCTCTAAGCAGTCACTTCACTGCCCTAACAGCACAGCCGTCAAGAATCTGTAATCATGCCAACCTAGAGCCTGTGCACAGGGGAATGAGACACGGATGAGCGCGTGGTTATCAATTTAAAGTGGCCTTCCATTAGTTCCCCAAATTCAAACCATATTGGACTGGTCTGGTCTAAAGAGCCATCTATATGGGGCTGGGCGGGCGGGTGTCCAATAAGACGATGATTCAAATCTCCATTCCGCCTAGGTTCGCGGATTAAAATGGGTAGACAGAAGTCTATATTCTACCTGGAGCTATTTGTGGGGACAGGGAGGGAAATACTGCTGGAAAACTCTTAAGACAGGCCACTTATTGACCTCAGTGCCAGCAGCTGTAGAGAGAAACGTGCTCTTGCCTCATAGTGCTGGCGAAACTCTAGAATGCCTGTGTTGGTCCTGGCCACCCTGTCTCTTCCGAAAGATGCTGCACTCTCTTAAATAATACTTGGGTTCTGTGTTCCTTTAGTAAGAAAAAATTTGCCAAAGCTTTGGGGGAGCAGGGAGATGGAAGTCATATTAACCAGTAGTAAGCCTGGTGCATGGACCTGCTCAGGTATCAGCTATGCTTTCCTCTGACTGTTTTTGGAAATCAGTGGCATAGCAAATCAAGTGGCATCTCTAGCTATAGGCCTACATAGCTTGGGTGGTTTGGGGGAGCTGTACCCCAGAGCTAACACTCTGAGTACTTTTGAAATTCACTTAAATGTTTGAAATTTGTATAATGTGTAGTGTTCCACTAGTCACTACGGGGATTTGAGATGTGAGTGCTTGTGCAACACTAAAGAAGACACTTCCATTTCCTGCTTGATGATTTTGTAGGGCTCACCAATGTTCTTTCCACCTGATTATGATACATAATTCTCATTTCATTCTTCCTCTGTGGTTTGCAGCAGTAATACCCTGCTGTTATAAGAACATAAGTAGCTATGCTGAATCAGACCTAGGGTTGGGGTTAGGATTCCATTCACACTGTGACAAACCAGCTATCCATAGAATCTCTCAAACAGGACGGATATAATAGCCCAAACTCCACAGCAACAAGTGTACATAGCCTTTGATACCAGAGGCGGCACATGGTCATTAAGAACAACAGCACTAATAGCCTTTGCCATGAATTTGTCATATTTTGTTTTAAGGCAATCCAAACTGCCATTGCTACTTCCTGTGGCAGTGAATTCCATAGTTTAACTATGCACTGTGTGAAGAAATCCTTGCTTTTTCTTTGTCCAGAATCTCCCACCAGTCAGTTCATACTAAGCAGGAACAACATAGAGCTAAGGATTATGAAAAATATATTTCTGTGCCTGTCACTCTAGGATGTATGTAATATGATTACTTTTTTCTCAAAGGAATCCATCCATTTTAAAGCATTCTCTTACTATTTTTCTTTTTCATTCCCAGCATCTCTCACACACAAACATTTCTGATGAGGCTCAGCTTTTATCAGTGAGGACACAACAAAGGGAATGTAGGAAGGAGACCAGGATAATAAGACAAATGTAAACAAATGCAGATATTAATTTGGTTTAGTTGGGAGGGAGCAACCAGAGACTTCATGGACAACATGGTTGAAAGATGCCATCACATAGGTATTCTGGCAATTGCCGTCATAAAAGGCAGCATAAATCAATGGGTGGAGTCTAAAGAGCAGGAGATCCTTGAGAGGTTGAAGGGAGTCAAATGGGATGTTCTGAGTGTGGTGGACAAGACTGTAATAAGAAATAAAGCTAGAACCATAAGCATAAAATAAGGCCAACTGTGCTGGAAGTTCTTGCATTGGACTTTTGACTGTTGTGGTTCCTGTGAGTTGCTGATATGGCAACATACTCTTTTTCAGGAGCTGGTGGTTCCCCCTCTTCAAGGCAGAATTCACTATCCTTTTGAAACTGAAAGTCCTTTTGTACTATGGTATCATCCTGGCTAGTCCTCATGCAGGGTCATGCCTGTCCCTTTCTCTACTTATCTCATTTCTAATTCTGGATCTTGGACGAGAAATCGAAAGCCAATTTTATCTCAAGTTTGTTTTCCAGTCATCCTTCCACTGAATTGTTATCCTATTGTTTAAGGCAGTTGGACTTGGTTCAAGGCTGTCTTAAAGAAAAGCTGCTGGTCTTTTTTTCAGTGCTTGCTGTTTTGAAGGTTTTCAAGGCATCTTAATACCTCAATTTTAAATTTATGTTACTGATTTTCTTATGAATAGCAAGCACAAATGCTAATCAAGGACTTACTAAACCATAGCTCTCTAGAGAGAGAAATTGTGAACAGGCTTTCAAAACAGAATGACTTATGTAGACAGCTTTCTTCATATGAACAAGCCTGGAGAACAGCACAGGAAAGGTGAAACTCACCAGATGCAAGTGAGGACTCTGGTCCATCCCTGCTTCACACCATACCAAGGCTTATAGAACTGTTTTTGCTATACAACTATTAGGTACAGTATTGGGTGTAAAGTTCAGCATTCTGGGAATCATAGCTTTCATTAATATAACTGGCCTTTTAGCCTAACAGCTACAAAATATATACTTGTTAGTGCTTGAACAAATCTAGAGACATCTCAGAAGTTAGGAACAGGGAATAAAGCTGAGCACAGCAGGATTGTTTGGGGCGGGGGTATATTTTAGGACTGTAGCGGATTGGATTAGGCTGACTCTCAGGGATATACCAGGCTCCTTCTCTGAATGTTGATAAATTGTACTTAGAGAATACAGTGTAGAATTTAGATTTTATTAGTGCAGAGTTTTGGCTTTTAAACTCTTTTAATTTTTTTATGGCATCTCCAACACTTTCTTGAGATAGATTTTAGTTACGGAGTTGAAACCAATGAGAAGTGGAGATACAGAGGATCAAAGTGTCATTCTTTATTATTGGCTGCGATGTCATGATTTACCCTCTGACAGAGCACTGGATCTACTCATTGTACGGCATTTGCACCTTGGCAGCTGCTGCAACATGTATTAGCCTCTTTTTTCACCAATCTATACAAAATATTATCTGTAAAGTAAAAAAGGTTTTTGGAAGACAACTCATGACAATAAGCTGTAACATGGGGTCAGACTCCCAATGGGGAAAAAATCCCTTCCACACAACTGTTAGGATAGTGAAGAGGGGCTTTTTGTGAGCTGCTGCGGATACTTGAGCATTTGAAGCAGTGTTTTCATTCCTTGTTGCTCCTAATCATGGCTGCTTTTTCAAGCATCCCTTTTGACTCCTGTTGTTTTTGGCACAAAAACATGGAACACTTGACTTTTTTCATGACCTCTCATGATTCAGTGTAAGTTCTTATAATTAGCTTATCACATGAGACAGCTTTTAACCTTTATAACTGCAGCAGTGGTTTACCATAGTGGGTTGTACAAAATACTTCATAACGTATCCCTAAAGGTTGAAAATTGCTATAATATTTTCAGAGAAGCCACAGCAGATTTTTCCTCATAATCTTCATCTATAAAGACGGCCTGTCTTCTTCTAGGCTTTGCGTTTTTCATGATAAGTGAACACTGGGATTACTGCTACTCTTGCTCCTCCCCCCGTGATTCAAGCAAGATGCCTGGCTATTTAAAACACACACGTACCTGTACGCACACCTTTTTTTTCTTTGAGTTTCTTAGCAATTGAAAAAATGAGAGCACTTCTCCAAAAGTTGCACAACTACAGTAAGGCTTACAGGGAAAGCTGTCAGAGAAGTGATGACTGCTGTCCAATTACATCTGTGTGCAACCATCTTTTGCTGAAAGCCAATTACTTCAGTTCAAACTCTGAATACAACATCTGGACTAAATATGGTGCAAGTACTTTCAGCTTGACACCACTGCTCTATATATGTTAAGCCCATATTTATCCATGGTTTCCCTGTCATTGTTTAGAGACACTTAACAGTTGAACTGAAGAGAAGCTGTTCTGAAAAGGGATTGGGGATATATTGGAGAAAGATGGTTGAGTTGTCTTGCTTTGCTTAATTCATAAGGCATACAATAGTTTGACTAACACATAATAGCAAGCCACTAAGGGCTAAATTCTCTAACCCAGGATTTCTAATAATGTACTACCCAGTATTTTTAAATGGAAGTTGTAGCTTGTTGTTACATGCTAATCCAGCTAAGGTAAGTTTGCTAGAACAGTTAACAAACCATCCATAACCCTAAAAGAGGTTGTGGTTTTGGGGTAGTTTGTTAACCATAATAATAACCCCCTGGCAAAGTAAGCATGTAAAGCAAACTATGGTATGGGCCTGCCACAACTTGCATTTTAAAAATGGCAGCTGATGCCATGACCAAAAGCCTTCTGGTAAAATTAATCCATAGTGGCCTGTTATGTGGAAATTGGGTCAAAAGTACTGGCTTTCCAATGTATAGGAAAATCTTTCCCACATAGGTCTAGGACTGTTGTCTACACTTTCCCCGTGCACTTCTGTCTTTATTTTTCAGACTTAGAGTGGAAGATCATCTATGTGGGCTCTGCAGAGAGTGAAGAATATGACCAAATTCTTGACTCAGTGTTAGTGGGACCTGTTCCAGCTGGGAGACATATGTTTGTGTTTGAAGTAAGCTCCTAAGTACCTCTCCTTTGTAGCAAGCTTTTCAGTATCTGAAAATTGTCCCTCTCGCATTCTTCTTATGTTGTAGCATAGTCAATCTTTACTCTTTTCACATATGTCCTCTTTTATTTTATTTATTATGTCCTGTTTATTAAGAATATAAGAAAAGCTATGCCGGATCAGACCCAAGGTCCATCTAGTCCAGCAGTCCATATACATGGTGGCAAACCAGCTGGGTGCAAGACCTCATCCTGCCCAAGCTTCTTAGCATGTCACCTCTGGTAAAGGAGGAAGCACATAGCCAGCAAAGATAGTAACTTCCTCTCTCATAAATCTGTCCAGTCCCTTTTTAAAGCCATCCAGATTGGTGGCCATTGCCAACTCCCATGCCAGTGAATTCCATAGTTTAAGTGTACACTGTGTGAAGAAGTATTTCCTTTTCTCCTAAATCTCCCACCAGTTTTATGGGGTGACCTCAGGTTCAAGTGTTATGGGAGAGGAAGAAAAGTGACCCTTCTGTATCTTCTTCACATCATGCATTATTTTGAACACCTCTATCATATCTCCCCTTACTTGCCTTTTTTCTAAGCTCAACAGTCCCAGTTGTTGTAGCAGCTCCAGCCCCCTGATCATTTTTGGTGCCCTTCTCTGCACTTTTTTCCAACTCAATAATTTCCTTTTTCTGGTAAGTGAACTAGAGTTGAACACAGTATTCCAAGTGTGGTCACACCAAAGATGTGTATAAGGGAAATCTGATTCTGGCAGTTCCACTTTCTGTTCCATTCCTAATTATGACTAGCCTGGCATTTGCCTTCTTCACAGTAGCTGCACCCTGGACTGACACTTCCATCGAGTTGTCCAGCACTAGCCCAAGATCCTGTTCTTGCTCAGTCACTGCTGGTTCAGATCCCATCAGTGTATACTTGAAGTTGGGATTTTTTGCCCAACATGCATTACTCTACACTTGCTTGTATCGAACTGCATTTATCATTTTGATGCCCCTTCCCCCAGCTTGGAGAGATCCTTTTGATGCTGCTCAAGCCCTCTTGTTTTTAACTACCCTAAAAAGTGAAGTGCCATCAGCAAATGAGGCCACTTTACTACTACTAGTTCTAGATCACTTATGAATAGGTTGGTCCTCATACAGAACCCTGTGGGACCCCCAGTGGTAACATATCTCCATTGGGAGAAGTCACCATTTATTCCCACCCTCTGTCTTCTGTTCTTTAACCCGAGAGTGAGCCATAAGAGCCCCACCACACACATTTTTATTCCATCATTGTTTAGATTGTTCAGGAAGTTTGGTGAGGGGCTTTGTCAAAAGCATTTAGGAAGTCCAAGTATACAGTGTCTACTGGATCACCCCTATAGTGACACCCTCTAAACTCCAAAAGGTTAGTGAGACATGACTTCCCCTTACAGAAGCAGTGCTGATTATTTTCAGCAGGGCTTGTCCTTCTATGTGCTTACTGATTCTATCTTTAATAATGTTTTCAAGCAGTTTATCCAGGACAGATGCTAAGCTAACTGGCATGTAATTTCCTGGATCTCCCTGGATCCCTTTTTAAAAAGTGGTGTAACACTAGCCATTCTCCAGTCCTCTGATACAAGGCCTAATTTTAGGGATATGTTAAATATTTTGATAATATTTTTGGTTAAAATATTTTGGAGAGCAAGATTTTATATTGCTTTCCTCCAACCCTTCTGCTATATACAATATTATGTATAAAGCTACACACAGTATTCCAGCAGAGAATCAGCTAGTTTCATTTGTCTCATATTCTGACTCCCATATTTTGCATACAGTGGCACTGTTAATACAGTTCCAATGAGGTATTTTAATGGTTGTATGTTTAGTTCCAATTTCTAACAAACCCTATCTGAGTCAAATAACAGAAGGCCTCTCTAGTGTATCATAGACCAAAGACACAGACATCTGGTTCATACATAACACTAAGCCATGGTTTACTTAATCCATAGGTGGTTGAATTCTGAGTTACCATGGTGCATGAGCCCAACCATATTTATGAACTATGCTCCGTTATCCACAAATATTGTAGAAAGAACTTTTTCACCCGTAATAAGCTACTGCATGGTCAAGTCACCCAAAGGACTAAGATGTGTGCCAGTTGCCACTTGGACTATACAAGCTATGGTGACTGAACCTGATCATCATGGGTTATTTGAGGGTTAAACAAACCTTAGATAACCCAAGAACAACCATGATGATGCTGTATTTGTGTGTTAGGGTGGGAACTGGCAGCAGGAGGCAAAGTTTCTAACAGTTGGAGGAAAAAAGTGGCATAAGGAAAAGTTCAGCATCACAAGCCAAAATCCAGGAATGAATCCATGGTAGAGCTGAAGCACTGTTGACAGAAATATGAAATATTGGCCTAATACAGCAGATAATAGATAAGAATCAGCAAACAAAGGGCCAAAGCTCAATGACAGAGTGTATGTTTTCATGCAGAAGGTGCCAAGCTCAATCCCCAGTGTCTCCAGCTAGGGCTTGGAAAAATCACTGTTTGAAATCGAGGAGAGCTGCTGTCAGACAATGTTGATAGTACTGAGCTCGGTAGACCAGTGGTTTAGCTTGGTAGTGTTGTAAAATCTATTGATGTGTACCAGATAGTGTGTTGGGCTTGGGCCATGTAGATCCAGGCTAAAGTCCTGACTCAGCCTAAAAGGATGTAACTTTATTTATTTATTTATTGTTTTTATATGCCGTCCCAGTCGCATAAGCCTCGGGACAGCTTCCAACATTGAAAATATACAATCAATAAATAAATAAATCACACATATAAATATATAAAATATATATGCATCACAGAATTGCTGTAAGGATCCAAAGGGGAAAAGTTTATGCTGCCTTGAGTTTTTTGAAAGAAGAACAGTATGCAAATATAATTAATCTTGTTCTCTTCTCCCTTTCCTCCGCAGGCCAATGCCCCCAACCCTGATCTCATCCCGGAGAGTGATGCTGTAGGAGTTACAGTGATACTTATCACCTGCACCTACCTGGGCCAGGAATTCATCCGCATTGGCTATTATGTCAACAATGAATATCTGGATCCTGAGCTAAGAGAGAACCCACCCCTCAAGCCAGACTTTTCCCAGGTGAGACACTGCAATGATAAGAACAGGCTGGGCCTATCATTCCTCTTGGCCTTCAGAAGAACCATGTCCTTGCCTTGGGAATTTGGACTGGGGACCCTTAGAGTGCTGTGAGCTGTGCCTTTAGGCTGTTGCTGAAGGCAAAAACCATTTGGTTTATATGTGCAGTGGCTGTTCCCTAGAGTCAGAATAAGGAGAAAATGCCCTTAGGCAGTGTTTCTGAAAAACAGGGTGAGGTTGAAAGGAGGATTTTTAAAAATCTTAATGTTAATAGCTTAATAAACAGTTTGAAACTCAGACCTAATGAACAGCCGACAATGTACAGAAGATTTCTGAAAGATAATAGCAAGATTGCAGTCCCTATTCCTTATATTATGATTTTAACAAGTTGTATAAGAACTGAGGGGAGAGGGAAGTGTAAATGCTCAGAAGGAGAGTCAAGCAGGGAAGAATCAGCACAGCCATTTCAATTGCAGGATTATATTCAACAGGTCTTTAGGCTAAGGGCAGGAAAGATCAATAAAAGGTGTGTGAATTCAAAAAGTTTAAGGGACATTTCCATAAATAATATAACTGTCATCTTTTAGAGAAGGAATACAGTACAGTTTACCAGTGTAAGAAAGATGTGGCTTACCTGATATTTGCATTTATTGAAATATTGCTATATATGGCTATATTTCATTGTAGAAATATAATAAGCCTTTGTCCCAATTAAAATATAGTACCTTTTGAGGGGTATATTGTGTGCTGTTTGGGTCTTCAATTAATGTAAAGTAGTAGCCCTTGAAACCAGTCACCATTTAGGAATAAGGGTAGGAGCACTGGAGTGCACAGTTCTTCTGATACTGGATGGAACTTTGATTTTCCAGGAGCTAAGGAACAATTTAAATACGCTTCTGTAGAATACAGTGGTGATTATGACTGGTTACAACTGCATACAAAGTCTTGTTTACAGTTACTACTTGATGTGATTAAATGATTGATTCAGCTGCTACAGAATGGTTGTGAAAGAGCTTTAAATCTCAAAGGGTACATTAGCATGTGTAGTGAGTATCTGCTCAACTCCATGTTGAGACAGCTTTGATGGTTTCCTTCTGAGGTGTGTCATGCTCTGACAAAAGGAACTTCTAATGGTTTAAAACAAATTGCAGTAGATGGGTTATAGCAGTAGAGTTTTTAAAGAGTCATCTGCCTGTGCACTCAAAGATAGGGACTGAGGATCAAAATGGTACCTAACGTGCTAGGTAAGCAAGTGCCTTGCACAGGGATTACCAAGATGTAATTGAATAGGATTGATTTCTTTATCATACGTAAAGTAGTGCTTTAAAAAATCCATTAACTCAGTTTATGGAGATGCTGTAGGAATTGTGTGACTAACAGTCTAGGAACTGACGGCAGTATAAACCCATGTAACTTTGTCTGCTCTTATTACTCCCAGCTCCAAAGGAATATCCTGGCCTCCAACCCTCGAGTCACTCGTTTCCACATCAATTGGGATGGTCCTAGAGACGAGATGGACAATATTGAAAATGTAGACCCAGAGCCTGATGGTCTCCTTTCTCCTAGCTGTTCCTACATCAAAGGGTTGGTCCCTTCTATGGGTCTGCAGCCTGAGAATTCCATGGACTGTTTGTGATCCAAGTACAAAAATCCAAGGAACCCTGCACAGAGATGGGCAACTGACACACTTCTGTGGAAAATTTTGGAGGGACTTGGATTCCTGTGGCCAGTGAGGCAACTGAAGTCCTGAATGCTATGTCTATATAGACTGATATTTCAGACTTATTTCCTATTGTTTTTTTTGTGACAGATTTGCTTTCCTGACTATAGGCTGAGTTCTGCCATAGTATTTCTTGGTTGGGACCTAGACTCTTCTCACACTGCACTTGACAGACATCTTATCTAGATGACAGAGTAAACAAGAATCCTCTACCTTATCTTCAGATATCTGAGGCCAATAAAGGCTGCCTTGTCATTAGAAGCATCCATTTTCTGAGTAATGTACTGGCCACCTTCATTCCAGGACAGTCTCAGCCCCTCTCTCTCTCTTCTTTCCATTCCAACAGAGAGCTAAGCCTTGTAGAGTTGCGGCTGACAAACTGGCTAGGTATTACAGCCAGTCTTGATTTCTGTCATCTTAGGAGTGATGAACTTCTCCCAGTTTTACCACTATAGTTCTATTGATGTGCTTAGCATGAAAAGTGCTGGAAGAGATGTTAAAAGCAGCACAGGCTGCTCATGTGAGAGTCTTCACACTGCTTTGGAAAGTTGCTCATCTAGTGTGTGCTACCTGCCCTTCTCTCTAGCACTATTCCCAAAAGCTACTGTTCCTGCTGACAGTCCATGACCAGAGTCAGCAAGTATAGTATCAGTCCCTTTAGCCAGTGACTGTTTGCAAATGCCTCTGCAGATGCCCTTGCCTGTGGGAGTATTGAATATGCCTTTCTCATAAGGTCTGCACTTGATCATAGTCAAGTTTATTACATATTCTCTTTCCACCCATAGTGAGAACGTCCAGAAACTCTTTGTTCCCACTAGGATGTCTTTCCAATAAGGCAAAATTTGCATGTGCGTGGTTGTTTTGTTTTCAGTTCTGCTTCCTTATTTCAGAGAGTATATGCCTTGGTATTTGGTCTTTCTGTTTTTCTCCCTGGTATTATACAGTGGTATGCTGCATTCAGGCCTTTTAAACATGTTCACATTGTAGAATGGATGTTCAACCAATAAAACTTTTGGAAGAAACTGTTCTGTAGATTCTGAGTGATAGCTTTAGCGCAATACATGAAGCAGCTTCTGCCTAAATTTTATTGCGAGTGGTTGCTCATTCTCACAAGTTAACATTTAGCAAGGTTAAAGGAGTAGTGTGGGTAGAACTTGCTTCCTTAAAGCAAGAATGATTAATGATTTCAGTCTGTATGTGCAGTGTTACCATAGCAGATCTGTGGGATTTAAACTGACATAAAATAGCAGTGATTTAAGACCCATAAACAGGGCAAGTTTTCAGCATGCACCATTCCATGGCAGCCTGATCTAAGCTGTTTCTAAGTGTTGGTGATGACCAAAATATTGTTTTCCACCACCAGTTAGTATGATATGTGAAAGCTGGACAGTGAAAAAAAGCTGACAGGAAGAAAATTGATGCATTCAAATCATGGTACTGGAAGAGGGCTTTGCAAATATCCTGGACCAACAGAAAGGCAGGCAAGTGGCTCCTTGATCGAATCAAGCCAGAACTTTTCCCTAAAGAAAACATGACAAAACTGGAGCTGTCATACTTTGGGCACATTATGAGAAGGCAAGACTCCCTGGAGAAGACAATCATGCTAGGGAAAGTTGAAGGCAGAAGAAGGAAAGGAAGACCAAATGCGAGATGGAGTGGCTCCAAAAGGGAAGCCACAGCCTTTTATTTAGAACAGCTGGGCAGGACAGGACATTTTGGAAGGGTTTTTTTTTCCACAGGGTCACCATAAGTCAAAAATGACTTGACAGTGGATAACAACATCAATAACAAGTTAATGCTTTAACAAAGAAAAATAAAAAGTATTGTCTTTGGCTCAGCTCAGACACAATAAATGCTAAACCATATTTTGGTGTTGTACTTCAAAGCAATGTATAATAAAAGCATTAAAATAGTACAATTTTTAAAGACAGTTTTTTGAATCATGGTTAGAATATTTGAGTGGGACTTGAGAAAACCAGATTCTAGCTCCCACTGGGCCATGAAGCTCCCTGAGTGACTTTGGGTCAAGTCACTGTCTCAGCCTAACCTACCTTACAGCATTGTTATGAATTTAAAGTAGAAAGAAAGAGGATTATATAAGCTGTCTTGGGTTCCTTGCAAGAAGAGAAATGTGATGAAAATAGAATGAATTACATAGTAGCAATGCAAAGATGAAAAAGCTATACCACAAGACAAAACATCATTCCCAAATTGATGTTTTAATTGCACACTTAAAGACAGACATAGAGGTTTCATTATTGAGAGCCATGTCCTGTGCACTACTAGATCTTATCTTCTCCATAAGAAAGTACCTTGAAGCACTTCCTTCAAGATCACTTGAAATACTAATATCCATTACACTCAAGAGATAATTGTGTATGTCAAATATAACATAGTTTTAATTTCCATGACTAGAAGACAAAACACCAAAGTAACAAACACTCATAATGAGTTCCACTCAGGATAATGGAAGTAAAGTATTAAACTCAGAAGTCTTATGGCTGGTCCATGTTTTTCACAGCTGAATCTTTTCTACTTGATCGTGTACATAGAAAGCTGTCTTAGCATGGAGTTGTAGAGAAAACTTAGGAAACAAATGTGTGAACTGATGTGCCTATGCAGGCATGAGACCAAACCTAGAAGGATCTCTCCCTTTGGAATCTTATAGGGATTCTGGGATTTTCTCTCAGGAATAGCCTTTACTTGCCTGAAGAGATTATCCCTCAGAAGCTGGCAGCATATAAAACTTCTTAAAATGGGCCCTCCACTTTCATGCCACTTTGTCAGTATTGTGCCACTTTGTCATTTCCTGAAAGCCACATTATCATTTCTTAGTTATCCACCAGAGTGTCCTCTTCCGAAGTCAGTGCATGTGAAATTGTCATATCTGATATCTGTGGGTCAAATGTATTAAGAAAGGGACCGATTTCACATATTTAGGTATTTCACATTTGCCACAATTGTTCAGGACTTTATAACCTCAAAATCAGAGCTGCTATTAGCTCATTTTAAAGCTTCAGCTAACCCAGAAGGCAAGCTTCTCAGTTACTGAAAGATCACTCAGTTACTAGCTACAGAGAGCCCACTATATTTGCACCTAGTGACTTCCATGTGCTTTTAGGTGCAGTTCAAAGTGTTGAATGCAATATATGAAGCTCTGTAAATCTAGAACATCATCATTTTAGAGCTGGTATTTCTAACCTTAAACAGCAAAGCTTCCTCTACCAAGGACAAAACTGGCTCAATCTCCTCATGTATAATTATGGCCAAAACTGATATTTTATTGATGGATTTGGTTGACCTGGACACTTGCTATATGAAGTTGCCTTCAATTCCTGGTCCTTCTAGCCCAGATGTGTCCACTCAGTGGTTGTGGCTCTAATGATGAACTAGTGTAATCCCTTAAGGTTCCCTTTGAGCCATGGAATCCTTCATGAAACAAAAGCTGAAGGGAAATAAGGGAACTTGGACATTGATCTTTCCCTCCATCTTTAGAAATGGATATCCATGTATTTCTTCGTAATAATACCAGTTAAAATTCTGCCCAATGCAGGTGGCAAAAAAACCTGGATAACACATTTTCTTCTAAAAACCCACAAATAAAATCATTAAGAAGCTGGACCATCCTCTAAAAAGTTAAATTTGTACCACATTTTATATTTGGGCTGTTCCTATCTCAAAGTTAGGGGCTGTAGTCTCCATCTAAGCACCACAGTTCATCCTTGAAGAGTGAATTGGGCCAGATGAAGACTAATCTCTTACCTATCTCATTTTTTATCTATTTTTCTGTAGGAAATGGTGCAACATATTTATGTAGTCTGCCTTCTACACAACAGTCATCTCTGATTTGCATGACTTACAGCTTTAATATTCTTTGCCAACCCAATTCAGATGCTGTGCTTAGTACTGGAATGAGGGTGGCAGAGTGAGCATGGCCTTCTAATAGTCTTGACAATGCAAACTGCGTGGACTTTCCCTATATTTGTGTTCTTCTGACAGATAAGAAGCCTAGCAAGAAAGACTCTTATCAAACCTTCTTTCCTTGTCAGAGAAGAAGAGAAAAGTATCTTTTAAATCCTTTTCAAGGTCACCTTCCTTTAAGCTGTGTCCAAATGTAACTCTTCTCTTGGCAAGAGAGGATTTAGAAACTATAAATGAAAAAAAAAAAAATTACCAGTCCAGTCATGATGTGGATGGGAGAGAGATGGAGGGAAGCACGGAGTGCTTATGGAAAAAAACTTATTTTAGCATACTTATTCTCAGTCTGTTAATGTCAAACTGAACATAATGTTTTAATGCCGCTTTGTAAAAATGGGTAACAGTCCAGTGTCAATGACATTGCAATGTAAGACCACAAAAGTAATTTTCTCCCACCAACTTTTGCTAGCCTGCACAATAATCCACATCTTAGTGATTTGTGGCCTAAAACAAATCAACTACTGCAGAACCTCTTTGTTTGTTCAAATGCTGGTGATTCTTGCCACAGGCAACAGCTGAGTGGATATGTGTACACAGTTGCTAAAATCAATATGGCAGCCTTGTTTCCCACATGAATTAAATTTTGTTTCAGTTGCAACCCACTTTCTGATTTGTGCAGAAGAGGTGTGATACCACTGACTGAAGCATTAGGCTAGTTTGGTGCTGCAGTCTGTCCTAATAGAACCATAGAATATTAGAGTTGGAAGGAGCCAGAGGACTGTCGGGTCCAACCCCCTGCTTAGTGCAGGACTCCATGCTGAACCATGCCTCCCAGATGGCTTTCCAGCTGCGTCTTGAATGCCCCTAGTGTGGAAGAAATCACAACCTCCCTAGGTAATTGGTTCCATTGTCATACTGCTCTAACAGTCAGGACGTTCTTCCTGATGTTCAGCAGGAACCTGGATTCTTGTAACTTGAGCCTGTTACTCTTGTATCCTGCATTCTGGAATGATCAAGAAGAGATTCTGTCTTTTTGTGATCTTTGTGACAAACTTTCAGGTACTTGCAGAGTTCTATCATACCTCCCCTCAGTTTTCTCTTCTTGAGGCTAAACATACCCAGTTCTTTCAGTCTCTCCACATAGTGCTTGTTTCCAGTCCCTGGATCATCCTTGTTGCATCCTTGGAACCCTTTCTAGTTTGTCTGCATCTTTCTTAAACTATGGTGCCCAGAACTGGACACAGTACTCCAGATGACCAGCGAGGAGTAACCCATGCTGAGTAAAAGGGAGCTAGTACTTCACTGGATTTGGAAGTGATACTCCTATTAATGCAGCCTAAAATAGCATTTGCCCCCTTTACAGCCACATCACATTACTGACTTATATTCAACTTGGGAACTACAACAATTCCAAGACTCACTTGCTGTATTGTGGTGCCAAGTATTCCCCATCTTGTAACAATACATTTGGTTTCTTTTTTTCTAGGTGCAGAGGTTGGCTCAATTTGTCCCCATTGAGTTTCATTCTGTTCATGGGCATCTTCTGTTGTCTTCTACCCTTTTTCCTTGCTGGAATTGTTTGATTGTGCATTTAGAATTTCCTTTTTTTTAATTCCAACCCTTCTTGGACTCCTTTTCTCATTAGTCCTATGTTAGCCCCATGCTTGCCATGGGACTTTATTTATCATTGTTCTGAGTTTATTAAAATTGGCTTTCCAAAAGTTCAGATACAAATTCATCTACATTTGGCTTTTGCTTCCTTTAGAAGCAAGAATTCAAACATGGCATGGTTTCTTTCCCCCAGAGTTCTCATAGCTTCCACTATGTCCCCCAGGTCTTCCCTGTTGGTTTGTATCAAGCCAAGGATAGCTGTTCCTATTGTTTCTTCCTCCACTTTCTGATGGAGGAAGTTATCAGCAACACGTATTAGGAATTCCTCGGGGGGGGAGGGGGGCTGTGTTTGCCAGAATTTGTCTCCCAACAAATATTGGAGAAATTGAAGTTCCTCATAATGACAACATCATGCCTCCTTGAAGCACTGGCAATTTTCTTTTCAAAAGTTTTATCCTTGTCTTCTACTTTAATTGGTTGGTTGGTAATAGAG